CAATAAAATGAAAAACACATGAATAACAATACTGAAAGAAAATACAATGCAATTCATGTCTATATTATAAGAAAGTGTATGGAAGAAAACATAAGCAGCAGAAGATACGTATAAAAAATGCAAAAAATATCCTATTTCATTCATTTTGCATTTCTACATCTCATTAAGTTAATTGCAAATACAGAGTGATAAAAAATTACATATTTTAAAAGTAGGTAATATTTATTAAAAAAAAGGTAGTATCCAGTAAAAATAGATCCTAAAACATTTATTGAGATATAGACCTTTATTGTCTTTAATTGTTTATTAAGATATGGGTCTTTATTGTCACCATAAGAGATGCTTTACAACCTTTAGTTGTATGTCACCTCATTAGTAAGTAAAATGCTAGCTGTAAACTGCGGATCGAAGTGCCCTTTAAGGGCAACTGATACGGTTCATGCACAATAAGGCACTATTCCATTTTCTACGCATCGTCTAACAATATCTAACTTAGACATTTAATGGATAATGGATTGGAAAATTCCAGTAGTTTTACTTGTCAAATCCTCTGTTTTTAGACCTTGATCCCTTAGATTTTTAGTAAAAGTAAAGTTTAATATATTTAATACCTATCAATAATGTATCAACTCTGCAAGAATGTGTATTCAACGCATATCTATCAGGAAATCTGAGAGCAGCTAAGTATACGCATAAAAGTGCGTGATTCTCTATAATACGTAGAACTGAAGGATATGACAATAGGAACTGTATAAAGCACTTCTTATAGTGATGACAAAAACTGACTCATTAGTGTTTGTTTTATAACCTAGTTTCTTAAATTTTTCTCTCAATGTTGTTTTAATGAATATTACCTATATATCTCAAAATATAAATATAAACCTTTCTTTAATCAACTATATATCAGTAGAAGGTTAACGTAACACTCGTTGAAAATCGTATTTTCCACATGTGTTTGTCTTCCACTTTTAGAATCCTTGACGTATCCTGACCTTATTTACAATAAGAGACACGATTGTAGCGATTTTCTCCTTTAGAAGTTAGATGTGAAGGAAAGTTCGTTCCAGTCGTCGCCATTGTCTCGGGTATACGAGATAAATTGAAAAAAGATGGCGAGATAGGTAGAGAGTTAGATAGGGGAAAAGAGAAATGAAACTATATGGACTATTGGCAGACTTTAATCCGCCTTGTCTACAACAATTCGTGCAATTAGGTTCATACAACGCCGTGAGCATTCCTATAATAATTTAAGATCCGTGCAAGAACATAGTAAGCTTATTTTCTTATAAAAATTAATCTAAAATTAGCTTTATTTTCAAGGAACAAATTACTGCTTCAATCCGTATTTGTGTCTCCGTATTTAGCGCTAAATATGATCATTTGTAATACACACAAATTTATATAATAATTTCAAATGCTATTTTTATGTCAAGATATTAGGTACCTATTTGTTCTTAGTAAAATATAACGAAACAATTCGTTCACAATCAACTCATGAAACATAATGTCCTCGTTTTATTTAATAATATTAAGTAAAATCTTGCATAAAATTGTAAAAATGTCTTATACGATATTTTGACTTCTTATAAAGATATTTGTGTGGATTCTGCAGTGAGGCAGATAAATCGATATCGATAGGCATGAATATGTATGCAAGCGAATGAAGTACTTTGGCAGAACTGCACTATATATCTCGTTTCGTGCTAAACGTAATTGTAGTTTACAAGGTAGAGTTTCGCCTGAAACATGAGTTTGCCACTATTTAATTACAAACGCGGACCTATTATTAATTAATCACTCTTCTACTTGCACAATCGAGCATTATATTGTAATAACTAGTAATTAGAGACACTTGATACAGGCATAGGTTGTCGACTCCATTATAGTCTGCAATAATGTCTTTCAATATATATTCCTCGTAATTATGCATTTGCCGATTGTCAGCGGATTATTATTCTTGTTATGCCAATATCGGAAAAACTGTGATATATCGTCCTGTAATATATTACGATCATATCTCGTTGTATCGCCGCGAATAATATACATATTTCGTCATTAAATCACATTTGCTTATGGCAACTAATAAATCCTCATTCATCGGGATATTTTCTCATTCGCGTACTTAAAAATGTATCACACACTCTTGTTTGAAATTACATTCCTCTCACTTAAGTTGGTTTAATCGCTATATCGCTAAGATACACTATGTATGTATATATACATAAAAAACAATCTCATAAAACTTATAAATCAATACATAATAGCATCGTAATTTAGTAACGCATAATAACAAAAAAGATATACGTTATTCTAGTAGCAAATTGTGGCGTAAGATCCGTCGAATAGAAGAAAAGAGAAATGATTGCTCTAATTGACTTTATGATGATATGAATTTATATCTGCTATAGAGCGTCCGATCAACCGCGCTTCCTTTGGACGCTAAATAAGTAGCTAAGAATAACTTGCGCTGATCTACTGACTGCAATGACAAAATCTAAACCACTCACTATAATCTCTCGCTATATCTGTCGCTATTAAAAAAATACTTTCTAAAAAAATAATTAAAAAAAAATTGGTTATCATATAAAGTACAATTTTGTCTATATATATATAAATTATAATATGATAATCATACTAAATTTATACACTTTATAATTTATATATATATATATATATATATATAAAATTTCTATAATTCATTCTACAACTATATATTTCATAATTTTAAATAAATAATTAATAAAATAGTAATATATATATTACATATATAGTAATTATAATTATTAGTAGAATATATAATATATAGTATATATGTCGGAAATTTAAATAAATTTCTCTCTGTCCTAATCTCACTGATTTATTTTGTTATCAGAGATGATACACATTAAGAAATAAGGCCTGAATTTGCAAAACAATACACTTTCTCTTGATCTATTATATATTGATTTATTTTCAGAGACGTAATGCTTCCAATCTATATTGTTTATACTTTGTTATTTATTATTTATATTTTTACTTATTTTCTTTGTAAGTACATGTTCTGTTGTTTACTGTTGCTCTCACTTTCATTTTACATCTGTCTACCAAACGGTTATGTCGTATCTTATATCTTTAAAATTTGTTTCATATAAGTGAACTAAAATTGGTTTTTCTACTGTTATTTATATTAACTTTTTAATTTATTCACATTTGCATTATATAGTAAATGGACCAGTTTAATGGAACATGTGCAACAAAATCTTATACAATTAGTTCAATCTTGATAGTCATGTAAGTTTTTACCATTTTTTCTCATGTTAGCATTTTATAACTTTTTAATTATTTACAACTCTTAGGATTGTCGTTTTTTTTAAAACGAAATATTTTTCTTTTTAGTTAACTTAGTAATTAAATGACCAAGATTAACTTGGACATCACCACTATGCGTTTCCTCTTCTTTTTTATGTTATTAGTTTATACGTATATGCGCTATCATTATGTAATTTTGTTAATTTTATCTTTCGTACTAAAGAGGACCTTGACCGTAGGTCGAAACGTATAATATTCACTTTGAATAAATGATATTATATATTGTATTACACACTTGTAACCAGTGTCGGCTCAAATTGGCATTTTATTTACGTTTAATATTCACTTTGAATAAATGATATTATATATTACACACTTATAACCAGTGTCGGCTCAAATTGGCATTTTATTTATTGTTTTTTAGAATTTTCTTTAGAGCCTTTGATTTTATTGATTTATTTTATGTTTGTATTTTCTGTATATTATGTCATTTATATCATCATAAAAATCATGAACGACGATTGACACATATATCTCCTCCAAGTATCTTAAAATTCCGCGATACCTCAGCATCGCGTGATATTTCGCGTGTCGAGAAACGAAGAAAATCATCAGTTGAATTTGGCCGAAATTACCAGTGATTCTTTGGTCAATTCGACTGACGGGTCTACGAAAAGCCAGAGAAAGAGAAGAAAAGAGAAACAGAGAGAAACGTGACGTCAGTTGGCGGAAGTCAATTGGCGCATGTCATGCACACGCGAGAGTTGATTCTAGCGAGCGGCCTTCTCCTTCGCCACGGTATTAAGTTTAGCCACTTCGGCCTGACGCGGGCAGTGTGTCAAGATCACTCGATCCGCTGTTGATATCGACCTTTCTCTATCTCCCCGTTCTTCTCGTTTTCTCGCTTCGCTGAGAAAGGTGTGCTCCAAGTGTCGCTCGCAAAGTAGCGGCAGATTCGTGTGTAGGAAGAGCTGGAGCGAGAATCAAAGAGACAAGAGGGCTAGTTCGACAGTAGTTCGAGAGTTGCACGGTAGACAGACAGGCAGGCTGTCTTGTGCCTGCTTTCATCTTTCTCGGTAAAGCGACGTCCTTTGAAAGATGCTGGAGTAGCTCGCGGACGGAGTGACGAGAGAGATGGTTGTCTGAGATTCAAAGTCAGGGAGAGCCGAGCTAGCTTTCCCTTTTGGGAATAAGAAGATTCGCGTATTAGATGGTTGTTACAGTGAATACGTTATTCTTCGCGGTATATTCTGAGAGTGGTACTGCTTGGAGCGCATTGGTTTGCATGCTTGCGTTTGAATGATATATAGGTAAGTCTTTGAAATTCGTCTTCAATTGCAGCTTATTTTACGAAAAAAAAAAAAATCTATTTCTTAAAAGATAATTCGCATACGTACATTAAGAGAAAGACTTTATTCGTATCACGCGAAAATATCAGTACCTACTTCAGTTTTTATTGTAGATAACTGTACCATATGTAAATAGTAATATAAAAAACAGTGTTTTGATGCTATTAGATTTTCTGCTTTTTATATACTATTATAATTTTATGTCAAGGAACTTTAACTAAAAGTTTAAAAAAAAATGCGATAAACTCAGATGTATCAAAGAATTATGATATTAAGAATTCCACGTAAGTCAGAATTGAGGTCAGAATGCTGTGAAGAGCTTGACTAAGGTGGAATAACGAGGGAATACCCGTTTGATTGCAGAAGGATGCAACCACGGGTGACAGTGGTTCTGGCCACGGTCTGGCTGACGGTGGCGGTTCTGGTAGGAGAAGCAGTCACCCTCCGCCTCTCTCACGATCAATACTCCCCCGTATCTCCACGCCGACACGCTAGGGTTCAACGGGACCGCACTGGAGTCTGGAAGGATCACGATCCAGTCGAGGATCAACCTCTCGACCTTTGGATCGGCTCGCGAAGGTCGATCTCCACAGAGGGTATGTCAGATTTTTACAGTGCTATGTCAAGCTGAGCAAAATAAAGCATCATATTGTGTTCCGCTGTCAACTCAAGAGCTAATGTCTAATACAAGATTGTCATTTTGAGAATATATCAGGAAAAGCCTAGTATAAATCTTTCTGATTTCTTTCTCTTCCTCTACATACAAAAAAAATATGTAGAAAAGATGTAAGGATATTATGATTTTAAATGTAAATTTTATTTTGTAAAATACTTTTAATACTTTTATCTCTATTTGATATTCTCAGGAGACAAGGAGAGTAAATATATAGAAATGTATATTGCTCTATTTTAGTATTTAACTCAATTTACGATTTAATTCTGTCGCGCTGTGTAATGAAGATGGAACAAACGCTCCGTGACGAATCGGCCTAACTGGTGGAAATCCGTTTGTCCCGACTTTCTGATGAATTAAAGTCTCTTTGCTCATCGTCTTTATGCAACTCCAATATCACATGAATACTGTTCACGATTGTTAAAAGTTCGAAAATTTTCAACATGCGTTCAATCTTAAATACAATTATTTTCATTTCTCGTGTTAAGTTGATAAGAAGATAATATTAAAATTCAAAATATAAAAAATCTAAAGACTTGTGTTAATATATTATGTTGTCAATACAATAATAATTACATGGCAGTATTGTGTCCTTTATAAATTTTCAAATTAAAAAAAATATTTAAAAAAAAAAGTAAATAGAATATTTTGCTAATAAAATAAATGAAGTAAATTCAAAAGATATCTATGCAAAAATATCATACAAAAAATTATTAATTTTTTTTACACAAATTAATGTAAAAAAAATTTTAGAACGGAAGCTATTATTTAGGAGAATAATGATGATATATATTTTTCGAGTAATATACACACACATAAATCTTTATATTATAACAGCACGCAAGAATTTCGAAGAAATAAATTAGCGTCGAGCATTACTCATGTCACTGTAGTATGCAACTATATTAGTTTAGCCGAGTATGAAATCGTTATTAAATATCTTTTAAAGAGAATCTCCCTCGTAAATTAAATTTCTAAATTAAATCCATATTTTCAGCTGTGTATCAATGTGTGCAAAAATAGTTAAAATTAATTTTCTAAGTATATCTAATTTTTGACATAAAAAAAGGGTCTAATTATATTTTTCAGAATCAGGAGCTCTATCTCACGATGCCAAATATACCGAGCGAGATTTTCAGCTTGAAGGTCTCTTGAAGGACATTGTCTCGTCAAAGCGAATGTACCCCTTTTCAGGCTGGCAGAGGCGGTTACCGAATATCGCCGGCGCGGAATTCGCGGCCGACAAAGTCGATTACGGCTACGAGATGCCGGAAACGCTTTCGCGCGAAGCGAAGGTATCCCCTTCAGATCTTTTAGACGACCCCTTTGTGGCAGACGACACATTTCAGGATCAAGGCCCAGGATCGATGGAAATATACAAACTAGACCTATCCAAAGAGAAGACTCTACTGACCGCAACCACGCCCTCTACAAATTTACTGTCGAGAAATAAGAGCAAAGCTCCGAAAAAGACGGGTCATTTGAATTCAAAGACAAAGACAACAGAAATTAAGTCAATAACAAGTAATCACAAACAATCAAATTTTTTCGAAGAACAACGGACCGAAACTCCTTTGATAAACAAAGACGCCTTCGATGTTGGTGGTGTGCCGGAGCTACAGGTTGGATGCGAAGGTCTCGAAGCGTCGTTGTTGTCCCACAAGACGAAAAGATCGATAGATACGCCTGACAAGGAGAAGGGCGAGGTGCCAGCTCCGTCCGTGTTGCTAAACGTGTCGCCGGTATCCTTGGATCTTGACGACGTTCTGTCGTACGATGAAGAAGAATATGAGGAAATGGACGAGCTTCTCAAACTCAAGAGACTGGAGACTACCACGAAAAGAAACAAGCCAAATAGGGGAGATATGGATGCCAGCCATTTGAATTCTGACCATCTGGATGAGTTTAGGCGACTAGAGAAGTTACCAGAACGAGGAGATTTGGGTGGATCCATCCCAATAAATTCTAGTGAATTAATAACTCGTCAGAAGACCAAGCGATCTCTGACAGATCTCAAAATTAAGAATTACGAGGAAGTCAAACCAAAGCGAGAAACCATTTTATTGGACGGTGATAACGGCGCCAGCAGGAATCATGGTCGGCAGTTGCTGTGGCTTGCCGAAGCAAATACTAAGGGATTTGCGGACGGTAGAAGCGAACGGAAGCGCACGAGACGGTCGATCGATTGGGGCTTCGGTGAGGATGAAGGTGTCGTGTCCAGCGACGAGTTGCAGACCGTGAATGAACGTCGCAGGCAGCACGAGATGCGATACCATCAAGACACATCTAGAAGACGTGACCAGCATCATGGATTAAATACTGACATCGATAGTGTTAGACAAGAGTACGAGAAATTACTTGAGCAAAAACGAAGGGAAGAAGAGTATTTGCGACAAATGCAACAGGCATCGACCAATCAAACGCTGCCGAATAGACGGGAGGAGGAAGAGAAAAAGAAAAGAGATGAATTACGAAGAAGACAATACGAGGAATATCGTGAAAGGATGGACATCACAACACGTCGTACAGATAACGAAGATATGCGACGGCAGATGGAAGAAAGACAAAAGCAAGAAGCAGCCCAAATGCAGGAGACGATTAGAAGAAACGAGGAAGAGCTAAGAAGACGAGAGGAAGAAGAACGAAGATTACAAAAAGAAGAAATTAAAAGAAGGCCACAAAGCAAATGGCAAGAGGAGAATTTAAAAAAACCGGGTTCTAAAACTTTCATAAAAGATGATGAAAGGAAACGAAGACTTTATGATGAAGAAATGAAGAGACGAGAGGAAGAACTGCGAAAACGATTAGAAGAAGAACAAACAAGAAGGCAGGAGCAATACAGGTCGCAACAAGAAGCTCAAAGAAAAAGAGAAGAAGAGGCAAGAAGGCGTCAAGATTCAATGAGAAATCTTTCCGAAAATGATAAAAGAAGATTAGAAGACCGTCGCAGAGAATGGTTAGAGAAGAAGAGGCAAGAGGATGAAAATGAGAGAAGACGACAGCAGCCATCGAATTTAATGCACGCGGAACATTCAGTCAGTCATCCGAACGATATCAGACAGCACGATCGAGACGAGAAAAAACGACAGCAAGAAGAAAGACAGCGAGAACAGAAATTGCGAGAATATATCACGCGAAATCGACCTATCAATGTCAATCATGCTGATCAAAGATCGAAAGAAGAGAAACGACGCTATAGACCCGAAGAGCACCAAGATCCGCGGATGAATGTGAGTAGAAATGACGAAGAGTACCATCGACGACTGGAGGAGCAGCGTAAAAGACAAGAAGAAGAGAGAAAACTACAGGATTACATCAGGAGGAATCAACCGGTGAATGTGCCATCGAGAGATAATCAATCGACCACAGCCGCTCGTAACTGGTTCGAGGAGCGAAGACTGATCGAGGAAGCCAGGCGTCGCGACAGATATCCCGATCCAGGAGTGAGGAGAGGCCACGGACCGTCGGCGCCTACGTATATCGATCCACGAAGCTCACCAGAGGAAGTCAGACGCACGCAACAAGAGACGGCGAGAAGGTTGGAGGAGGAAAGGCGGCAGAGGTACGAGGCGGAAGAGCGACGGAAGGAACTCGCCAGGCGACAATGGGAGGAGGAAGAAGAGAGACGGTTACGGCAGCAACGGATGCGAGAGGAGGCGGCCAGGCGAGAAGATGAAGCGAGGAGAGAGCAATCTAGGAGGTACAAGGAGAACAGGCAGCAGTCGCTACTGGAGATAGCGAGGATGCGGGCCGAGAAGGAGAGAAGGAGGCAGGAGATGTTGAAGCAACGATCCAGGAACGAAATTGGTAGGACGAAACAACCAGAAACTAGGCCGATCTACCACCAGGATCCTCGTCTTTTGGCAGAGCACAGAAGACGACAGGATAGCCGGCCTAATCCGAGTAATTTGATGCGAGCCGAAGAAGCCAGGCGAGCGACGGCAGAGCGCGAAAGGCAAAGATTGGAAGCCGAGAGACGACAACAGGAAGAGAGCAGGTATATAAGTGGTCCTTAGAGCACGTGCTTTGCAAAAATGAAGTTTTTACTTGGCGCGACGCCAGTGAACTTTATTCGAGCTGATGCGCTTCGCAGCATTCAATGTTCGTTACTACTATCATTTGTCTCTGTTTCTTTTTGTTTTATTGGTATTTCTTTCGACTAATATTATTTCCAAGTGCAGGTATTATTGCGATAAAATTGAAATCGCGTAAAGTATATTTCATATAATGAGAGTCTAAAATAACAATAAAAAATATAAATGATGATATCCCTGACATGTTCCTTTTTTATTCTTATTTTATTTTATGTTTATATTAATATAATATTTACTAGTAATTATGAGTTGAAAGATATTATCGCCTTTCTTGTAGTAAAAGAGTACTAAATATTCCAACAGATCCAATTTGATCTTGCTAACTTAATAGAGATTTTCTTGTAGTTTAATGCAATAAATTTCGCTTGTGCTACCTGAGATATTTTTCCAATCGCGTGAAATTTTAAATATCAACAATAGCGATATATTAAAGACTGTGAACAGTGCGACTTTAATTATAGAAATATTCCAAGCGTATCATCAAGGCAAGAGTTTATTCATTCGAATCATCCGATAATCATACGATCCTATATTTCCATCTGCTGTAGAATGAGAGAGCACAGACGGAAGGAGACCGATCAGTGGAGACGACAAGAACTAGCCAGACTAAACTCTCTGCCGGTGAGCGCAAGGATAATAGTCCGTCCTGGTGGCTCCTCGCCGACGTCGCCCGTCTCGCCACCAGTGATATCGAGGGGCGGTTTCAACAACGAGATCGATTTTACAGTAAGTCCTCCATTTGTCTGTCAAAACACTTCACCGCACTTCGATCGCGTAAACCCGATTCGGTTGTCCACCGGCGGTTTATTCACTGACGAATTCGATCTCGTGGTCGCCAATTGTCTCGCGCTACCAAACTAAAGCGCGCTTCATTAAATCAGGGAGAAGTTGCGGCGGGTTCGTGTCCCTTCGACCCAACAAGCCTTCAGTCCCTGTTTTGTTTCACTTAATTGACTGAACGCTGAGCAGCATCGCCCCTCTCTCTGTCTCTTTAGCACTTTCTTGTAATATTTTCTCCGAAAATTGCAATAATTTTAGAGAAAAAAAAAAAAGTACAAATATGTGCTAAACGTAATAAGACATTGTTACTTTTGCAATTTGAATTATGCACGATACAAATAGATATATATATATTTTTTTTTTTCTTTATGGTGCTTATTATAAATATTTTGATAATTCTATCGTAATTGATAATTAATAATTAGAATTAGATGGATTCAAAGTTCAATGATTATTTTTAGGGAATCAACCCGCATCGCGAAGGTGTACAAGTGGCACAATTTCCTGTCCCCCCAACACCGAGACCACCTGCTCAGAGCCCTACTCCATGCGTTTGGGCAGTTGTTCATTGTTGTTCATCCAATAACAATCGTCTCGTAAAGTGTTTCGAATCGTTGGGCTGCCCCGGGATTAATTGGGATCCTAACCCGTGTAGAGGGTCTGTTGCGGACGCTGCCAGAGCAGAAGTTCTGAAGTTCTATGCTAACTCGTAAAACTAATAACATCAATAAGATTCAGCCTTTACTTTTGGAGAGACGAATATCAACTAGACAAGAAAAAAGAAGGAAAAACTCTTCAACACCGACGGAAATCTTTCTCTCTCTCTCTCTCTCTCTCTCTCTCTCTCTCACACACACACACACACGCGCGCGCGAAAAGTTTCAAGTTACTGTTCTTCAAATCAATTTGTGCATGTGTGACTCTGTACAAATATTTGTGTCGCTCATTGGATAGAAAAACTCAGTAAGTTGACTTAAATATTTGCAGAACGGAAGACCTTGATATATATTTTTTTACTTGACACAATATTAGTAATTTTAATAACTCAAAATTAAACAAAAAGCTATCATAAATCAATATTTCACTTTATAGAAATATAATATTTTTACGATAAAATTCAATGAAAAATAAAAAAAACATTAAAAATTGAATTTAATATATTGAATGTTAAAATCTACACTGAAATATTATTAACGTATTTTGAATAAATTGTAAAATATATTTACCTATATTTGACGTAAAATATAAATGTGCTAAAAAATATTTAAAAATATTAGAGATAGAAAATCGAAAAATAGGAAAATGTCGTGAACATTTAAAAATTATCAATTTTTTAAATTTAAAAATACATCAATTTTTTTACATCCGGCAATACAATTATTTGTGATTTCTAATTATTTACAAAATTCTATCTTCTCTACAGAAGAGAATAAATAATGTATAAGACTAGGTATACTTTGAAAAAAGGTAGTTTAAATCAGGAATAAAAATAATCAACAAAGAATATTAAACTCTTTTTTTATGCTAAAAGTCATCGTATAATATAATGAAGAACATATATTATTTTATTATAATAATTACGAACAAAAACGTAAATATTTTTTTATCCGCTTATTTCTACGATAGTGTACATTAGACAAATTTATATAGTGCGACTAGTAATTAACGATAGTCTAAGAAACGTTTAAAAGATTCAACTTTTAAAATGTAGCAAGCAGTATTTGTTTTAAGTAATGTCGGAGATTAATAAAACGTGTGTTTTGTAGAATAGTAATCAATTAATGTTTAATATTAATCGGTAGTCAACATTGTAGCACTGCCTCGCGTAGCGCGTGTAAAGTTACGTACATACATATGTAAAGCTCTGTAAAGAAAAAATATTTTCGACAAACTTATGACACGTTTTGTCGTCACGTTTGCATGTATAAACACAGCGAAAAGTATTGTAAATCTTTTGTACGTAGCCAAGACAAGTATCTTTGCAGCTTTTTTCCACATGTGATATAGAAGGTAGGCTCTAATGTGTTATAACCAGACGAATATTTATGTAACATACACAAAGAAAGCAATAAAGTTATCTGTACTTGTATAACCCGAAACACCTGTCAGAGTTTTCGTGCTACAATCAAACTTCATTACGCACGTAAAATTTGATTAACTTGCCGCGACACTGACACGTCTGTATGCTCTTTCAAATTACATTGCAAAATGTGAAAAAATTACACATTCATTTTTTTTAATCTTTTTTAAAATAATTCTCGTGCTTTATAAGTGCCTAATATTATAAATAAGAAAATATATTATATAAAATATTATGATATTGATAATACAAATTTACTTCCGAATAAAAAAGATTTCTAACTGATGACTCGTACATTTACGCGCGTTAATCGCTTACAATATTTGATAACGAATATAACTTCCAATTATATTACATTTATCTGTATCATCGTCTTTTTTTCCCCGACTCCTTTTTTTTTGTCGTTTCGTTTGCCGTAGCCGATAACGAGGCCATTCAACGTTTAAGAGCTTGCAAACATTTCCCGTCCAATCAAACGCATTGTGAATCCGAAGGCGCCACCTCACATCCCTCGCGTCTCGATATACACACGTTAAGGCAAAAGCAAATAATCGACTATTGACGTGGGCAGCCACCACTTTGTGTAATGCGTTGCGTGTCGCGCTAGTTACAATCGCCAATGCATTCGGTACAAAATTACTCCGACGAAAATTGGAAACGTCACTTTGCATCCGAGCGCATACCTGTCAAACTTTAACAACCATTTTTACTATTTACACGTTCGATCGAAGTTCATTTAAAGAGGAAACAATATGTTTCAATAATATTAATTGGGATACCATATATTTACTCGTAGACTTATATTTTTAATAAATGCAAGCGAATATTAAAATACTCATTTTATTAGAGCAGAAATTAAAATTAAGTAACAAATAAATACAAATAGCATGGATTTAAAAAGTTATGTAATAGACAACACATGCGTTTCTTTTAGCACTCGTACGTGAATTATGTTAATCACAGTGGCGCATCTAATCATTGAGCAACGCGGTCAAGGCAAACGAGTATTGTCTACTACTAGTTGGTTTTTTTTCTTATAGATTATACTTCCTTCATCAATATTCAAGTAGTAAAAAAATGATAATTTCTGCAATGTTATATAATACTATATAATTTATGCAAATATAAATAACAGCATCTGAGCTTTTCCATACTCTAAAAGTATTGTATTGTATTTTCTCTGTTACATATTATAAAATGCCTTTTAGAATACAAAACATCCCAACTTTTGTTATTTTTTTCTAACAAAAATAATTTTCCAGTTTTTTTCGTGGCTTTACTATCACGCTGTATTATCTTTTCATATTCTTCACACCTGAAGCGTGTAGATATTTCTTTAGCACTACTAATCGAAAGACGACATTTAAAAACTCAATCAATAATATTCAATAGAAATAATTAACAAAATAGATATGTATAAGTTAATCGCGGATTAACAGTTAATACAAATATCTTTGGAAAACTAGTTACATCAGATGTAATAAATAAAGATATAAGGTTTCTCATGTTGAAGATGAAGTTATTCATGCTATATTATGTTACAACAACTTGTCAGAGATGCACAGTACAGATCATCTCGCGCGAGATAGAGAGAAATCTTCTATCTAAAGTTTCCTGGCACGTACATATAAACCCCTAACAACAGACTGCCGACAGAGTCGCCTGTCAACAGCATGTCGACAACAGACGCGCATCCAACATTCTCGAGAATCATCCCCAAGGATATTGTCTTTTCACTATGTCTATCTCGATACCGTCCAAGATGCACTTCCTCGTGTGCCATGTCCTTTCGCAATTTACTCGTATTTTTTTGCGACTTTCAGTTTACTTTGTACAACACAATGAGATAATACAATTCATAAGACTGGTCGCGATATAATACGGTTTACGATATAATACGGTTTCCATTAAAGATACAGTGAGCTTTCACTAAAAGATTCATGACGTTATTTCAAAGGACATCTCTTTTGATGTTAAAATAATTCTTTTGATATTATGTTACTGCGTGAAATATAATTACAATATTATTACATTGTATTTTCATTATTTAATATATAAAAATATCTTACCGTTGCAATTTTGATAAAATAACAACACTTTTAGATTATCTTTAAAACATTAAAAATATAAATTTAATTTATAAAATTAAACGGAAAATTACACTCTTGAATAAGAGTGGCAAATTTTCACTCTTTTTTTGGAGATTTACTCCAAAAGAAAGAAATCTCACTCCTTTTTTTTAAGTGAATCTCACTCCAAAAGTGTAAAATCTCACTCCAATAAAAAAGTAAAAATCTGCCAGTCTTATTCAAATATGCAAATTTTTTACTTTTTTTCCATAGTGACAGTATTTTAACTCTTTTGGAGTGAGATTTTACTTTAAGAAATTTTGAGAATAATAAAATGACTTAAATGACGCGGATGTAGCAGTTTCTTTCTACTGTAATAAAACTCACGGTGTAAAAAAGCTTTTATTTCCTTTTTTTCCTCTTATCATCTCATCTCTCTTCTTGTCTCAACTTGACGGACAACAAGCGAGTACACGGTCTGTCATTAGTTTGATGCATCCGCGCACAAATAGACAACTCGCGCGATGCACTATACCTGTAAACGGAAAACTGCGCACCTGTGACAAACGGTTCTGTCCGCATATATATATGGGTCACCTTTGTGTCAGCAGGTTGCTTTTGTGAATCACTCGTATTGTTTCCCTAAAAAAGATGCCTAAAGCATCGAAACGGTTTTTTTGGCTCTATATTCGCGACTAGAATTTTGTGAATAATGCATTGTTCTTAAAAGCAATCCAAGCTAAATCATTCCTTTTGCATCAAATATCACTACATTTCTTCCTATAATTATTTTATATCAAAGAAAACCTTATTATTATTCCACATCTTCAAGAAAAAGTTTGATGTCTCTTTTGTATAAATATAATACATTGCTTAAAAAAATATGGCATAGAAAAATTGTGGGCAAAAATTGGCCAATTTTGACTAACAATAATTTTGTGAAAAATTATTGTAGAATAACATTTTTTTTTTTTTTTTTAATTAAAGTTTGAAATCCCCACCTTAAGATGCTATGAGCAGATTTTAAGTTTGATACAGCCCTACTACTATAACTCTCAAAAAGATGAGGGTGTGTTTGTTATATTAAAAATTGGAAAGTTTAACGGAATGCATGGACTTTGTAAAATTTTTTTAAGGAATGTTGCCGTTTGCAGCGGCATGAAGTTCGAACTTTTCCTTTTAATTAAAAAAAAAAACGAGTCGCTGCGATTTTTTTTTGCAAAGTTACAACACTTTAAAATTACACTTGAAATTTTGACATATAGTACCCCGACATTACCTACATGACCAGATATACGCCAGGACGAGGTCGTTGCTGAATGGATTTTGTACATTGTGTTTTTGCGTATAAATCTTAATAAAGCGTGTGTTGCCTCCGCGTTGTTCGATTACTGCTTGCAGTCAATTCTTCATATTAATGCAGGCCCTAATTTCTTTTTGCGGAATGTTGAATTCCAAATTTGTACCAGAGCTTGTAATAAGTCTCTGAGATTGACAGGTTGTTTTGCCAAGTCTTTTAATCTATGACTCATTATCTAATACAAATCTAGAATGACATTCCGCAGAAAGAAATTATAACCTGCATTAATATGAGGAATCGACTGCAAGCAATAATCGAGTAACACAGAGGAGCAACACGCGTTATTAAAATTTACACGCAGAAACACGATATGCAAAATCTACACGCAGAAACGTGCGAAATCCAGCGATCTCATAGTGCATATCTGGTAATGTCGGGGTAGTATATATGTAAAAAATGCGAGGGTAACTTTAAAGTGCTGTGTGCGTGTAACTGTGAAAAAAAATCGCAGAGACTCGTTTTTTTAAATTAAAGGGAAAAGTTCGAACTTTATGCCCCTGCAAACGGCATTCCCCAAAAAAATTTTACAAAGTCCGTGCATTCCGTCAAA